GAGAGAGAGAACTTTCACATTCAAGATGAAAGATCTTGGACTAGTTGACACTCTTTTAGGGATCAAAGTAATACAAATAGGAGGGGTTATGAACTTAGTCAAATACAATTTATTGAGAAAGTTCTTGATAAGTTTAAACTGTCATGTTTCAAGAAGGTGAATATTCAATTTGATCTTAGTGTCAAAATAATGATGGAAGAGTTATGGCTATATTATAATACACAAGTGCAATTGGTTTCTAATGTACTAGACCTAACATAGCATTTGCAGTTAGTAAATGAGTAGATTGACTAGCAATCCAAATGGTGAGCATTGGAAGACCATCACAAGGATTTTCTATTATCTTTTAAAAACCAAAATCTTGACCTCGATTATGGTAGGTGCCATATTCGAAGGATATACCAATGTGGGTTGGATATCGAGTGTTGAAGATCATAAATTTACAACTGAGTGGATAATTACACTAGATGGAAATGCAATTTCTTGGAAGTGCAAGAAACAAACATGGATTAATCTTTCGATTATGGAATTAGAGTTTGTGGCTCTCGTTTATGTTGATTAAGAAGATGAATGGTTGAAGGACCTTCTGTTGGAAGTTCCATTGGCAAAAGAAAATGTTTCAAAAGTGTTGATACATTGCAATAGTCAAACCAATTTAGCTAGTGCATTCAACAAAGTGTAAAATGGAAAGTCTAGGCACTGAGGCCTTAGACATTCTTTCATGAGAAAATTGATTAAAGATGTATACATTTCACCCACATATATACGATCGATCTATAATTTAGGAAATTGTTTTACTAAGCCACTAGGTAGAGACTTAGTAAAAACAACCTCGAGAGGTATGAGGTTGAAACTCCTTGAGTAAGAGTTCCAACAACGGCGGGCAACACAATATTACGTTAACAAAACATTAACCTCAAGATTCAAATGGGTAACAACTAGTCGTTGATTTTGGATGATTGTCGAATATTTCGTGATAATGTTGACCTTAAAAATGAGGGTTGGGTTTTCTTTTAAACTCTTAATGAAGTTCAACACCAAGAGTACGTGTCTCATGGAAAAAAATACAACATGAACTTCACCTATGTGAATTTTAGATGGTGTCGTCTCAAAGTGAGAGTTGGAGTTTCTCTCATGAAAAATTCATGAAAACAGGATAGCATATGATCATAAATAAGTGCAAGACGAGAAATGTAGGCAAAGAACCCTTAAAGAATGTGTGTAACGTAACGCTAATATAATCACATGGATTAATGATTTAAAAACATTGCTACCTAACATTTCTATTAGACTTTGTGTCGTCCTTACTAAGATTAAGTTTAAAATTGAAAGATACTTAATTGTATTAACATTATTTATTTTCCTTCTTCTGGATTTGATCTTGTCATTATTAGAAAAAGTGGGGGATTTTTAGAAATTATTAATAATTAATAATATTTAATCACCATGGATGTGTTCCAAAATGACAAGAAAATATCTATGTGAAGTTTATATTTTGAATATGAAAATAGGCAACACTTCGTGAAGTGTTGCAGTATGCAGTTTGTAGTTTGAATCAGAAACATGCAACACTTCGTGAAGTGTTGTAGATTGTAAAATAGTACAATCTTTGAAAACTGTTGTTGTAGAAACAGTGCCACGTTTTCAAAGTGCTGATGTAGGCTAGACAATGCAATATTTAGCAAAAATGTTGCTGAAAGTGTGTGTTTTCTCAAGGGTCACAATCTTATGAAACAATACCACTTTGGCCTATAAATTGAGTATTTTGGATTCAGAAAAATACATCTGAAAAGTATATCATCTTCACCAAAATTCCAGACACTCTTCACTACATCTGAGTTTTCATCGGTCTTACGAAAACTCGATAAAAGGCTGAATATCCTGGATATTCTCGTGTTCAAACTCTAAGACATATTTGAGAGTGCTTGAAATACTTATAAAGAAAGTGATTTCGTTCACGATTCTAGCCTCGGTCCATTTGACTTGAATTATTTTTTCTAAGAAAACGTTGGAGAAGAAGCATGCATAGGTGAATCTGAAGCGAAATGGACTAAAATGATCTTTTTAAAATTTAAGAACCAAAATGAATTCCGATATAAAGATAAGAGATGAAAACGAGTATTACGCTTATATTGGTTCAACCTTAAATCACGGGGTCTAATCCAGTCTCAAGATTTTCTTCTTGATATTTCTATTATCAACAACTTGAGCTTTTACACAAGTTTAGCCCAACAAACTTTCTTACACCAAGATTTTTTTCAGGTTTAATTTGCAACCCCAAATCAATTACAAATGCACAAGAGAACTAAGCTCTTAAGTAAACAGATTAAACACAACAACAAAAATACACAACTCTCAAGATAAATTTTTTGACTCTCTCAACAATAAGATAATGTGTAGTGAATAAAGTTAATTTTAGAGGGAAAATGAGTAAGATAAAAGAGTAGATAGTTCAAAAATTTATGCTTTAGAAATGGATACATCAATTCTTTATATAGGAAAAAAAAATTAACTAAAAAAAAGACAACAATCAATATGTTTGACCAATCTCTAATCAATTAGAAATAATAAGCTAACCGATTAGATTAAATTAAAAAAGGAAATCTTGAAATATGGTTGCTCCTTAATAGATAAATTGACATCCTAATTGATTAAGTGGCAAATTATGTATATATTGCCTTAATACTTCAAAACTCACTCTTGATTATTTTTCAAATAAGTAAGAAATTTACTCTCGCCGTAACTGATTCGAAAGGTAGTAGTATTAACGAAAATTTAGTCATTTCCCTAAAAAAAAAACTTAGGTTTCCGGTTACGCTTCTGACGTCCATCGTCTGACGTAGTATTTCATTTTCGAAATCTCCGCCTCCCGCTGCCACATCTCACCGTCTCACGCCGCCACCGGACTGCATCTTCTTCCCTAACTAACTTCTTGAGGTTTTCTCTGGTTCCATTATCATTTTCGAAATTGAATGATCTGTGCCTCTTTCAATTTGTACTCTTGGTGGATTAGATGTGTTTAGTCTCGGTCTCAGTAAGATATGCAATGAAGTTTGTTTTGGTTTTTCTTATTTTCTATGAATTTACAGGTTTGTATTTTGATATGATTTGATTTTAAATTTCGTAGTTTGATTAGGTTTAGTGTCTATTGATTAAGTTAATTTATGCTTGTTATATTATTTGCCCCCGTCTAGAAAAGATGGCGGAAAATAGATTTAGGTGATTTGGTTATATAGAGAGAAGACATGTAGATTATGTGGTAAGGAGAGGAGATCAGATGAAGAAGAGTCCTATAGTTAGAGGTAGACGAAAACCTAGAAAAATTATTAGAGAAGTTAGTAAGAAAGATTTTGAGATTAACGATTTGGATAGAAACATGGTTCTAGATATAACATTATAGAAGAAGTTGATCCATGTAGCCGACCCTACTTAGTGGGATAAGGCTTGGTTGTTGTTGTATATTATTTGTTCTATGTTTTTTACAAAGTAGGAATAGAACATGGTGATTGAGAATTGAAAAAAAAAAGTGCGGAGCAGTAAAGAGGTCGTTTTTTCTAATATCTGAATTCTGCAACGCCACTTCTAGTAGGGAAGGGTGGGGATGTGGATAGAATTGGTGTTAGTTTGGTGAGGTAGGGATAAAGTTGAGATGAAGGAAGGTGGAGTACACCCTTGACTTGCTCCGTTGCCATACCTACTTGGAAGTTGTGTTATGGAGTTTGTTTGTCATGTGATTTGTTGTATAACATGTTGTCCTGTCGGATCATCATTCTTATATTTCTATATTTTGTTATGCTATTGGCTTTTGAGGAAACGGACCCTTTGTCTATGGGGGTAATTGCATACATCTATCCTCTCCGAACTCCACCTAGTGGGAGCCTTTTGAACTTGGCATCCGTTTATTGACTTTCATTGGTTTCTAAATCTTCAAGCAGTGTTGTCCATGGCGGACAGCCAAAATCCCACCATACCAGACACATTGTGGTGCCGTTATAGTGGAAAGCTCCGCAACATCAATCGATATTTACCATTTCGGCGAGCCCAAAAACCACCATGTATACCTGCCATAGCGCCGCAATTGCAGATATTTGATAACACTGTCTTCAAGCATTGTTCACCTTTATGAAATCATCAATAAACTGAGAATATGTATGGTGTACTGCCATTGGGTCTATATTTCTTTAAGATTTAGTAATTTACTCAAACCAATATGCAATACAATTTTTTAGGACACTTGCCCAATTTAATATGTATACCATAAACAGTACTTCAATAAGCTTTTCATAATAATGTTTAAACAAATTCTTCTTTCAGGATATTTATATGCCGGAGTAGGAGTTTGCAATGTGTGTCATAAGTAGCTGATTTGCCATTTTGAGAGGTAGTGCGTGTACAAGCCAATAATGAGCATGCTTTTAAGAATAAGGTGTTGTTTACCCAATGGTTTGTTATATAGACAACCTCTTAATGCTAGCATTGTAGGGATTAATGCTAGGAAATTAAATGTATTTACAAAAAGAAACCTAGGTCAAGCTGCAAGGAAAGAAGAGGAAGAAGATGTAGAGGAAGTTGTGATTGGTCAACGAAGTCTCCCAACTGATTTTGATCCAGCAACATTTGATCCTAACGACCATCGTGGCCCTCCATCGGAGAGAGTTTTCAGGCTTGTTGATGAAGTGGCATCTCTAACGCTAACTGAAGCTGCAGAATTGGGTCTCCTTCTGATGAAGAAAATGGGTATAAAGGAGATGCCTAATGTGGGATTTATGAAACCAGGATCTGTAAATTTGGCTGCAATGGCAACAAAAGGACCAACAACAGCCAAAGAGGAGCAGAAGCCAGAAAAAACGGTATTTGAATTGAAACTGTTGTCGTATGAAGCAGCTTCCAAAATTAAAGTCATCAAAGAGGTTCGCGGTTTTACTGATTTAGGTTTGAAGGAGGCGAAGGATTTAGTCGAAAAAACACCTTCTATTATTAAGAAAGGTGTTTCAAAGGAAGAAGGAGAGCAGATAATAGAGAAATTGAAAGCTCTTGGTGCTAATGTGGTTATGGAATGAAGTGATGTGTTGTTATTTCAAAATTTTCATATTGTTGACCAAATATACAACAAATTTCGCTATTATTCTGTTTCAAGTTGTGCTCATTTTTTGCTTCTACAAACAAAATATTATCCCTTATGTTTCCTCTTGATGTAATAAAAGTAGGATTTGTGCTTCTGATTTGATTTGCATACATATATAGCACAGCTTATCTTAGATTATGAAGGTAAATGTAGGGTGTTTCAAATTGCAGTGTGACCTTTTCAATTTCAAATTTACTGTGCTTACTGATGCTCTAGAATTGGGATTAGGATACTGTATATTATTACCATAGATGCTTTTGAACATAAGGAGACAATAAAATAAAAGCTGTTAGTCTCTTTTGAAAAAAATATAATTTTCCTGGGAAAATTTCTGGGAAAACATTTTCATAAATTATGCTCTAATCTTTTAGTTAGACTTAGAATGTACACAACAGACAGAAGGAAATTCAGCAGATATTGACAGATATCACTTTTACTGACAAACAATGCATACTACCAATAGCAATAATCAGAACAGCCAGGGTGGACAAGAGAACCGAAACCCATCCAAACCGTCAAAACCGAGTCAACTTTGTCGCGTCGTCGGGTGACGGATAAGTATTTTTTTGTTACCTGGAGTCCACTTCGTCGAAATCAGATTTCTAAAGTGACTTCACTGGAAACCAAGGCAATTGCGCTGCTTTTTAATGGAAACTGTATAGCACTGCTTTTTCTTTCCCTTACATTTCTTTTCACATGTGTGTTTATCTCTCTCACTTTTCTAATTTCCCTTTTTCTTTTCACTTTCCTTTGTTCTTAACATATAAACATAAACACCTCATGCACAAACACAGTCTCATTCCTCCTCATTGAAATGGATGAGAAGAAAGAAGTGATTGGGAAATTGACAAAATTTAGATGAAGCGTGGAACCACAAAGCAACATAGTAACAAAAAAACAACAACAATATGATAAAACAGCCTTGGATGCATGCAATGGTGATATCTATAACGCCCCATTTTTTCATTTGAATATTTATAATGAAATATACGACAAATGCATCAGAGTTCACAATAGGATGTCACATAAATCATAAAATCTATAAAATTCTAAAAATACTTTATTACTCCGTGTATCCAAAAATGGTTATTCGGCAGCGGAAAATCAACATAAAAGTAGTTCAATGACATTCTAGCCTTAACAACAATTCAAATCCACAATACACATCATAAGTTTAAAAGAAATGTGCAACATTTGAAATCATGTAAAACGTAATGAAAATCCCAAATTCCGTATTACATATCAGAGCAACTCCTAAGACTCGATCTGATAACATCACTTCAAGCATTACTCGGGTACTTGATTATCTGTACTCCCAAAGAATACAAATACAACACAAAAGGGATGAGAATTTCATTCAATAATTACACGGTGAAATAAAACATGTCAAGGAGTAGTAAATCACAACATATAAAAAATTCATCACAAACAACCATCATCACATCATACAACATCAATTCAGTATTTATACAATGCAATAGTCCTACATCAACATGCATATGGTGCCATCAAGACATAAGCCTCCAACTCAATACCAATTGGACAATAACAGAGCATAAGCCCTCAACACAATACCAATCCAGGCCAACATCAGGACATAAGCCATCATCCATGAATGCATGCAATATGAACATGCAACAACATAAATTCATACAACCACAAGGCATAAGCCTTCATCACCATGGCAATTTAAGCCATCCACATCATCCTTATCATAATCACCAACATTGCCTCATACCGGCATCATCAACAAAAGAACACCACAAGAAAATAACCCACCGTTTCGGTGTAACAACGGGGAATAATTCTTATTTTAACTTAATTACTAGAATTATTCTTCTAAATCTTTATTTTATTCTACCTACTTCAATTTTATGGTTTTATCTATCCAACGCTTTGAACGACGCATCAAACGGAGTTGTGGTTCAAAAGTTACGACCTTTAGAAAAATCTGTCAAAAAAGTTGGATTGCTTGAGTCGACGCATGCCCCCTTTGAGTCGACGCATAGGTATTCTGTCTGCCCCGGATGTGCTCAGGTCGACCCAATGAGTCGACGCATATTGAGTCTTGAACCTGCATGAGTCGATGCATGGCCTCTTTGAGTCGACGCATGTTGTTTTGTGCTGGATTTTTCAACAATTTTTTTGTGATTTCACTACCTTATAGGTCCTAAAACATCATCTAATCATAGAGATTCATCATTCATTATCATCCTATGTTTCTACATCAATTATACATCATTTGGGCATTATTATTCATCTTATATTTTATCAAATCCTCATCCAAAATCTTCAAATCCTAATTCTCATTACTTATAGGTTCTAGATTGGGATTTTATACAACAATCATCATAACAGCGCAAATCACAACAACAATAACAACATAGCATCACAGATCCATGTATAATCATATACAACATATCGACTCAATCAAATCAAACAAATTATACATCGATCATATAAAACAACCTAAGAGAGAAAGGAATCTTCACTACCCTCTCATGTAAGATCACCAATTAGAGAATCCATTCACCCCCTTACCTTAATTCAAAGCTTTGATCTTCCCAAAAGCTGTCAAATTCTCTTGCCCTAGCTTTTCACTTCTCTTTTCCTTTTCTCGTTCTACGATCTGTTTTATCGTATTCTCACTCTTGTTTTTCTTATAACACAATTTAGACCTCTAATACTTATATCTCAAAAATGCCCTCACTTAGCATTATACCATTTACCATCATGCCCTCACTTTTTCTACTAATTACCATCTTGTCCTTATTTTCTCTACACTTCTATTATTCTATTATTCTAATTACTTAAATCCAAATAATTCCAATTAATCACTATTAAATCTAAATAATTTCAAAATAATTATTTAAATTTCAAACCTTCTTACTAACTCATCCTACACCACACAACTCATCATCTTAAACACCTTATTCATCAAATCATCGCTATTTGCATCACAATTGCATCACGAATACACATCATATATTGTCACAAGGACTCACACAAGACACCAAAATATCATAAATAAGCATCAAAACATCAAAATACCGTCTACTTCACATAGAATCATATAATCATACTAAATTAATTAATTAAATAATTAATCTAAAATTCAGAGTGTTACAACTTTCCTCCACTTAAAAGAATTTTCGTCCTCGAAAATTACCTGACAGAAACAACATTGGATAAGAATATCTCATTGTTTATAGTGATTTCTAGTAAACAACCGATAGTCTTCCAATTTACTAATTATTATTGGTTACTTGCAGGATCGACTAGATTGATCCTAGAACACATGTGTCATAACTTATTTTTATGTTCATATCTATTATATTGATAGACTTATATTGTATGTTAAGTTTGAAGACGAGATTCTTATGAAAGATTTCTAAAATGGTCTATAGGAATAAACTAAATGAATGTAGGCAGGAAATGCTTCGAATTAGACTTGGGCTTGAATGTAAAGATAATTCTAAAATGGCTTGAATGTGAAGATAAGTGTTTGACTAAAAGGATAAAGTAAAAGTAAATCGAAGGATTTAAGGGTAAAAATATTGTCTAACGAAATGACTGTGTTTAAAGACAAGTAAAACAAAGAAATGCAAGGAAATCGAAGGATGTAAAGACAACGAAATAACTGTAATGCAAGGAAATGTAAGGATGTAAAGAGCAGTTCGAATTAAACTGTATTTAAAGGCAAGTAAAACAAGGAAATGCAAGGCAATCGAAGGATTTAAAGGACAACGAAATAACTGTAATGCAAGGAAATCGAAGGATGTAAAGAGCAACAAAGTGCTGTAAAGGTGAACTAAATATAACAAGACTTGTATTGAAATTGTAAAAAAGTAATGATGTTCAACACGTACATTGTATCTTCTGATTCTTTTTCCTTAATTCACGGAAGTAATGAGTATTTTGAGATATTTTAGTACAAAAAAGTGAATATTTTTAAATCTAACATAAGAACACCTATTTATAGTGTCTTGACCCTAACGGCCCTATTCTAAAATCACACCACGTTCGAAGCATGCAGGCTTCCTATGTTTGCTGACTTCCACGCGTCTTCTAGAATGGCGCTCTTTATTTGAAATTTGCAATCTGTACCAATCGAAGCATCTTGCGAAATATGTACCAATCGAAGCATCTTGTTTCTTTGTTGCTTTCGAAATAACCCAATTACCTGGACCGTTGCACCCTTGCATAAAGGAGCTCTTTACAATTCGAACACTAAAAAAGTCCAAATCGAAATCTGCTGAAAATTTAATAATCCTTCAACATAATGACTCCATATCTCCCACTAATATCCAATATTGATATTAATCTCCTTAGGTACTTTATTTGAATTATTATTTCGATAGTGGTTTCTTCCTTATTCGAAATAGCCAGCTAACACTCATCCGATCCTCGCGTTCCCAAGTCCAACTCTCACCATCTGGTCTACCCCACAACACCTTCACTAAGGAAATTTCTTTGTCACGTAATTGCTTCACTTATTGACCTTCTATTCACATTGGTAACGTCTCAATAGTAAATTTATCTCTCACCTGTACATCATCCATCTAAATCACATGCCAAGAATCTGACATATACTTCCTCAATTGAGACACATGAAACACATCATGCAAATTCGCAAGTGACAGTGGCTAAGTAACTCGGTAAGCCACCTCAGCTACCTTCTCTGATATGTGATATGGTCCAACAAATTGTGGCATACGTTTCCTCGATTTCAACGTTCTACCGACACCAGTTACTGGAGTAACTCTCAAAAACACATGATCATCTTTCTTGAACTCAATGTCCTTTGTCCTCTTATCATGGTAACTCTTCTGACGATTTTAAGAAGCATTCATCTTCTCTTGGATCATATTTATCTTCTTAGTTGTTTCTTGTATAATCTCAGGTCCGAGCACAATACTCTCGCTTGACTCATAC